TATTTAAAAGATAACTAAATATGCTTTAGTGAACAATTACATGTTTATCTTTAAAATTTAACATGCAATTGAAGCAATTATAATCATTTATTCCAATGAACACAATGCTGTCAAATCAGTTACAATGTGTACTACATCTATATACGGATCGTTCATTTGAATTTCAAATTAACAGACATATGCTATATTTCCCCATACAATAAATAAGTTATGATGCGCTCTACCTATTTTAGGTTCAATGGGGTCATAGTTAATAGGCAGATTGTTGGTTTATATAGCAACTAATGCATTATTTAAACCACCTGTCGCCGGGCTTAAAATTCCATTGACGTACCCGCTACACATAAAATATGACTCACATAAAGAGAACTTGGCCTCCCCCTGCCAAGCTACCAGTTGCCACCCCCTTTTTGACAGATGAGCAAGAACTACCCCCAAAATTTGTGCTTTGAGAGAGCATGAGAGATAGAGAGGAAAAGAGAAAGACGGTAACGGTTTGTGGATTGCCGGTTATATTTTCAATGTGAGTTCAGATCTACTTTTTCCAATGTTAAATTTCTTCTAGTATATTTCGCCATTGTCTTGAAGGGGGTTCTACTCAATGTGCATATTGTGATCCGTCATTCTATGTTGGTCAAATATATATACTGTTTCAGTGTCTAATGATAATAATGAAGATTAATTGCAAATATTTCGCATCTATATTTGATATTCACCTTGTTCTATTGTTTCTACCGTTAATGCTAAAAGTTTTCCTTGATATAGGCGACCTCTTTCTGGCCAGAATGTCTTAATATTATTTTTGATAAAGCCAGCTCTCAAAGAGAGCATTTACGCTTTTGTTAATCAAATTTCTCGTTCTAGGTTTTTCCATATATCGTGCTGTTATTTCTGAAAAAAATGTTGATCAAATAAATGTATATATACCTATAATCTATAGATGATACCCCAGCTGATTTTGGTGTCCGTAGAATTGCTGTGCATCTGTTTCAATATGATGGTGCTTATCATTTGTCCTGGTGATTGTCGGATGAGCCTATTCCTTTTTGTTCTTGGTCTTCGTCTTGCTCTTGGTGCGGCTCTTCTTGGCCTCAGTCATTTCGGACAATTTGGGTGAAGCAGCCAATGAAACTTCGGGGACCGTAACGGCGCTAGCTTCCACCTCTTTGGCAGCGGAACTAGTCCTTTTCTTCGAAGAGCTTCGCTTTTTTCCAGGCATGATAAAACACTATATTGTCAAAACACGAAACGAAAAAATCACATGAATTTTGAAATTTAAAAATAAAAAAAATCAGACAGGCCAAATGGAGTGTAGCTCACAAAATTTTGTAATGAATACATTTCCGGATACTCTGAGGTACCCCAAAAAATTTGTGCTTCGAAAGTTCATGGATTGCTTAGCATTGAAATTTTTGGCTTCTCTTCCGTTCTGTTAAGTTTTTAAGTTTTTATATCCTGAGCACATTGAAAATGGCAAATCAAGGTATTATGGTCATGATA